ACAGCCTCAAACCGATCGTTCACGGTCTTGACGAAGAAGTCTGACCATCTCATAGGTGGGCGGCCACACGATCTTTTGACATTCCGTGGAATCCAGTCGGTAATGGCTATAGTCCAGCGGTTGTCTCCAAATCTCATTACATGTCCAGCCCATCTGATTTTCAACACCTTGGCAAAGGAGACAGCGTCCTTGATTCTTGACCGCCAACAAGGTTGGAACTCTGGACTCTTTCTCTCATTTGAGTGAAACATGATACTCCAAGCATAGCTCTTTCGATTCATCTTTGGGAGACTCGAATAGTGAATAGCGTTCCCATCCTGTTTTCATAGGGCCCAGGTCTCTGAGTCGTATGTTAATGCAGGAAGAATGGTGGAATCAAAGAGATGTGCCCGGAGCCGGAGGTTCTTTGGAGGTTCTTCGTCCTCTTAGCTATTTCTTCGACGTTCTTAAAGGTGTTCGAAGCCGCTCTCTTCCTCCTGCGCAACTCAGGTGCCAGGTCATTCGTTATGTTGACTTCTAGACCTAGGTACACATAACTGTTGCATTCTTACTTGCATACTTACCCTATGTGGACTTAAAAAAGGAACCTAGTAAGAGAACAACAAATGGTCAAAATCATTGAAACTGGAGACTGGGGTATTCAAAGGCAAGGCAGGCGCCTTACTCGTCTACTTATCTTTCCAGCCCTACTTTTAATTTTGTTATAATTACACACAATTTGATTTAAATTTGATTCTAAGATGTATATGGAAAGTGCTGGAGTGCATGCTTTGCATGTAGGAGGCCTGATTTAATCTTTGACACTGCCTGATCCCCCAAACACCATGCCCAGGGCAACCTTGAGCACTGTTCGGTGTGGTCGCAAAACACACATACACACACACACACACACACACACACAGAATACAAATTAAAACTTAATTCAAAGAACCTAAAACGAACAAAATAACTTTGGGAAAAAAGTGAGTAGGAGGACTTATACTACTGTTTTCCATACATATAAAGCTGCAGTAATCTATTGTTAAATGTTTGTCTCTGAATGGAGAATGAACCATTCCACACGTATATGGCTAACTGGGAAAGAATATTTTTTTTAAGAAATGATAGTTCAGCTTTTCCCTTCTGCGGCCATCGCTGAAGTGTAACTGCCAAAATGAAGTTCAATACTTTTGTGACTTCTGACCGGAGCAAGAATCGTAAGAGGCATTTCAATGCACCTTCCCACATTCATAGGAAGATTATGTCTTCCCCTCTTTCCAAAGAGCTGAAACAGAGGTACAATGTGTGATCCATGCCCATCTGGAAGGACTTTGAGGTTCAGGTTGTGAGAGGACACTACAAGGGTCAGCAAATTGGCAAAGTAGTCCAGGTTTTTTTTACTTTTTAAATTTTTATTATTGAGACACCATGAGGTACAGTTGTAGACTTACAAATTTTGTGCTTGGGTTTCAATTATACAATGATCAAATACCCATCCCTCATCAGTGCCCATTTCCCACCACCACAGATCCCAGTGTCCCTCCCACCCCCCATCCCCCCCATCTCACCCTGCCTCTGTGGCAGGGCATTCCCCTTTGTTCTCTCTCTCCTTTTGGGTGTTGTGGTTTGCAAAAGAGGCATTGAGTGGCAATCATGTTTGGTCTATAGTCCAAAGTAGTCCCGGTTTACAGAAAGAAATATGTTATCTACATTGAACGAGTCCAGCGGGAGAAGGCAAATGGCACAACTGTCCAAGTGGGCATTTACCCTAGTAAGGTGGTTATCTCTAGACTGAAACTGGACAAAGATCGCAAAAGGATCCTTGAACACAAAACCAAGTCTTACCAAGGAGGAAAGGAGAAGGGCAAATATAAGGAAGAAATACTTGAGAAGATGCAGGAATAAAGTTGTATATATACAACTTGATTAAAAAAAAAGAAATGATAGTTGAGCAATTGTCTGTTTGTCCATAAGCCAAATAAGAAGAGAAAGCAAGGGGCTGGAGAAACAGCACAGCGGGTAGGGCGGTTGCCTTGCATGCTGCCAACCCGGGTTCGATTCCCAGCATCCCATATGGTCCCCTGAGCACCGCCAGGAGTAACTCCTGAGTGCAGAGCCAGGAGTAACCCCTGTACATCGCCGGGTATGACCCAAAAAGCAAAAAAAAAAAAAAAAAAAGAAGAGAAAGCAAGATACCACAAGCCTGATTTCATAGCATCCACCCACTATAAAAATGAATCTAAAAGCTAAAACTGGCAACCTTCTAGAAGAAATTTTTAAGAAATTGTTATTGTTCTTGGGTCACACCCAGCCATGCTCAGGGCTTTCTCCCAGCTTGTGCTCAGGGATCATTCCTGGCTAGGCTTCAGGATCCATATTGGGGCCTAGGGATCAGATACATGCAAGACACACATATCCCTACCCATTGTGCCCCTCAGAAAAAGAAAATTTTCATTGTCCCCATCACGCCCCCACCCCCGGCTCAGACCTGCTCTCCACCAGGCTCCCATGCGGCCGCCATCTTTCTTTCCAGAGAGGAGAAGGCGGAAGGGAGCAACACCCTTTCCCCTCTGGGCAGACATGATGGCCTGGATTAACGCATAGTCCGTTCACTTTTCTGCTCCAAGCTGCTGGGTTCTGCATTAAGTCCTTGTGCTTCTGGGGCTGTGGCCGTGCTCCAAACTTAACTCTGATTTTCAGGGAGAAACGTTGGGTGATTTACTTCCCATTGATCACTTTGTATATACAGAGATTACGTGGCCACGTGGTTTGGAGGAAAAGTCCTAGTTCCCACATACTCAAGCTATGCTTGTGGAGGCTTCTGGTCACCGGGGTTCTATCTGGGGGAGGCGGGATGCAGCACCTACCCCATCTGGGACTTCCCGGTGATCTTGGCTCTTTTTGGAACCTGGTGTCTTCTCTGGGAGCTGTGGAGTCAGCCCTCCATGTGGTCCTTCTTCTCTCTGTATGGCTGTGTGCTGTAAAGATGGCGCTGGGGGGTGGGCCGTGGGCGTGACTTCCGGGATCAGAGGTTATTTGGGAGCTGGGATGGTCCCTGGCGGTTTGGAGGAAAAGGTCTTGTGGTTGAAAAGAATTCTTCAATAGGACAAAAAACAAAAAGAAATGATAATTGGGGTTGGAGCCATAGCACAGCGGGTAGGGTGTTTGCCTTGCACGCGGCCAACCCGGCTTCGATTCCCAGCATCCTATATGGTCCCCTGAGCACCGCCAGGGGTGATATCTGAGTGCAGAGCCAGGAGTAACACCTGTGCATCGCCGGGTGTGACCCAAAAAGAAAAAAAAGAAATGATAACTGAGGTCAAACCCTTTCTGTGTCTGAACTTTGTTGGTGTTTCTCATGTCTGTGTGGTACCTGGGGATTGCTGGGCAATGATGCCCCTTGACACTGTCCTAACTCCATTCAGTGCCTGTCCCTTCCAGAGGCCTGATTTAGAGACACTGCAAAATTCCCAGCATCTCACCCACAGCCCGCAAAGAAGCCACTTCCTCCTCACGCTTTTGGGCTCTCGCAACATCTACACCTGTGATTTGAAGTTTGGGTTACCGTGGAAAGAGCAGTCCAGAGATTCTAGAGAGGACAGGGAATTCTTTACACTGGACTCTGCTGCTTATCTCAAAGGGGGTTGTCAGTGCAATAAGCCAGGGGCTAAAGAAGGGCTTAAATCCCCACCCAACATCAGAAGTCCTTTTTTTGACTCAGAGATGATCCCAGTCTGGCCTGCTCTGACACTGAAAGGTCTGGAACATAAAGATGTATTTGCCTCATGTTCTGGGAATGAGTCAAGTGGTCAGTGTCCAGCCCCTTGGAGCCCAGCTGGACATAGGAAGGCCTGGATATTCCAAATATTAAAACAGCTCTTGGACAGGAGAGATAGTACAGCTGGTGGGGGTTTGCCTTGCTCGTGGCCCTCAGAGGTTCAATCCCAGACACCCACTATGGTCCTCAGGGCCCCACAAGGAGCGATCTCTGAGCATAGAGCCAGGAATAAACCCTAGGACCACAACCGCCTGGGTTCATTCAATACAATTAAATAAATTAGCTCTTTAATCCGAACTCCAGAGCCCCTTCCCGACACTAGCCGGCCTCTGCCTCAGGCCAGTGCTTTTCTCACAAAGGGTGGGACCACAGAGAGACCAAGCATCAGTGTCTCCTGGGCCAGTGGGGTGCAGTGACCACTACCCCGAGATCAGGAAGGACCAAAATCCCTCCAGATGGGCAGGCTCCACCAGCCTGGAGGGGCAGACAGAACTTGAAGGACCTGCAGCGGGACCAGGAGCGCGCAGGGCTGATGGACCAGTGCGAGCAGAGCTCACTCAGCGGTAAATCCAAATCTGTCCACCACCAGGGCTCAGAGGAGCGACTAGCCGCTGGCGCCTTCAGGGGGTGGGGGTTGGGGGTACAGAGACCCAAGCAGGGCTTAGGGGACGCCCGAATGCAACCAGGGCGTCAGAGGACTCCTGCGGATCTAAGCCGCTGTCCTTCAGAGAGGACCCCTGAAATGTGGGGACCCATGGGCCTTTACCGTGCGCTCCACAGTCCCGGCAGCGCCTGGCCGCTGAAAAGCTGAGGGAGCCCGCATAGGAGGTGCGGACTTCCTAGTGGACCCCTTATTCCATGTGGAGGGGCTGGGGACTGGTGAGGCTGGGAGCTGAGCTCACTTGGAGAATCCTGGGAAGCCTCTAGAGTCCCATTTATTTAAGGATGTAGGGTGTCCCCACTGAGCTACTTCGGGCTCAGTGCTGGGCGGGGGCGGGGGGCACTCCCTGGAGAGCTAGAAGAACTGTGGGGTGACGGTTGGGGTAGGGGGTATCGCTAAGCACGCGTTCCAGTTGGTCGAGCCACCTTTCCCGGGGTCCTTTCTTGGAACGCGTTTTCCCCAGCCATGCCGGGTGCGGCGCAAAGCGCAGAACTCGGGACGCCACCTCCAGGCAGCCGGCGGGGTGGCCTGGCGGCCGGCCTGCAGAGGCCGCTGCCTTATAAGGCGGGGCGGGCTGCGGGGAGGGGCTGCAGCCCGGGACTCCGCGGTTCTCCTGCGGCGCGGGCCCGGCGGGCGTGGAGCGCGGCGCGGCGGCGGGACCAGGAGCGCGCGGGGCCGGCCATGGGCAAGTCAGGTGAGCGCGCCGGGCCGCGGGGCCGCGACTGGGCGGGCGCGCGGGTCTCCCGGACCCTCGCGTCCACCCTCCCTAGCGGGGCGCCTGGGGAGCGGGGTGCTCGCCACCGGGCGCGGGACGCGGCGCGGCGGGGTGCGGGATAGAGGCGCGCGGGAGGCGCGGCGCAGGCGCTCCCCGTGGCGGCCGCGGGACAGTGGCCGCAAGGCGAACCCGACGGACGGTCCCCAGCCTGCGAGCTCCAGATCGCGTACGCCGGGGCTTGCAGGCGGCGAAGGGGGTCCGCGCTCGGCCGGGCTAGGCGTGGCCCTGGCTTTGTTTCCGGAGGGCTCCGTGCTCCCGAGTTTCTGCAGCCACCCCGCTGTCCCGGCCTCCATCCCCGCCGAGGGACCGCTCTGAGCATCTTTGGCTCGATCCCTGCCGCTCTGAGCTCCTTCCTCCGTGCCCGACCCTGGGTGCCAGGTTTGGGTCTACTAGGGAACAGACGCCCCACTTCTGGCCTCTTTATCTCTCTGAGCAGTAGCCGCCTGCTAGTCTTCACCCACGCGGCCGTTGGGGGCGGAGTAGAGGGGGCTTTCCAGAATGCTGTGTGTGTGTGTATTGGGGTGAGGGGATCCCCATTCCCGGGCTCTCCCTGCGGCCCGGCCCGCTTCTCTGAGGCTGGAGGTTCTTATCCTTTTCAGCTTGGCTCGGCCCTCTGCCGCACCCCCCCAAGGCTGGAACCCTGTGCCCAGAACCGATCCCCAGCCTCTGAGGGACCAGCCGAAGGTCCCAGAGTCCTTTGTCTTCTCTGTGGCAGACTCTCAGCGCCCTCCCTTAACACACCCCCCAAACACACACTCTCTCTCTCTCTCTCTCTCTCTCTCTCTCTCTCTCTCTCTTTCCATAGGACACTCCCGCTTCCCAGATTCCTGGTTCTTGGTGGCCAGGACTGCCCCCTCCTTTCTCAAAAAAGCTGGGGCCACAGCTGTTACAGAGTTTAGAGTTCACTCCCAGGAAGTGGAAGGTGGGGGTGGGGTCTCACAGGAATAAGGTTGGAGCCTCCCTTGAATCTGCTTCTTTCCCTGTCATCGCTGTTCCCCCATAAGTACACTGAGGGCTACCAACAGGACCCCCCACACACACACACACCTTCTTTCCCAGTGTAGAAAGGTGGGCTGTTATGACCCAGATGACCGAGAGCTAGCAGGGAAGAACTGGGGGCACATTTTGAGGTTTCCTACTTGGGAAAACAATTTGTCTCTTTCCATGAGGAGAAAAACCCCAGATGCTCCAAGACTTTGCTTCCATCAGCTGTTTCCGGGATCTTCCCTAAGAAAGAGTTTTCCAGAACAGGTGTTCACTCAGCCCTGAGCTGCCTTTGTCTTCTGTCCCTTACTCCAGCCCACCCTCTCTCTCTCTGCTCTACACCCAACTGTGGAGGGCCTGGTCCATCCTTGGAGTGAGACTGGAGTGTCAATCAGAAAGCTGACACACACCTCCCCCCGCCCCCGTCCCCATCCCCATCCCCGCCAGAGCAATAGTGCAGTGGGTAGTAGGGCTTTAGCCTTGCATGTGGCTGACCCAGGTTTGATTCCCAACACAGCACAACATCCCTTATGGGCTCTTGAGCACCACCAGGTGTAATTACTGAGTACAGAGCCAGGAGTAACCCATGAAAGTAAGCCATGGGTGTGGCCACAAAACAAAACAAATCTGACCTGGGGCACACATAGGCACAAGTAGTTCCACCAGCAATCACTCCTGGAGAAGTGGTCAGGCTAACCCACAGACTCTTGGGAATTTGGACATTACCCTCCAGGACTTGAGGTGCTACTGATGTGACAGCCAGGGTCCAGAGCTGTGCCAAGCCAGGGTCATGGACTTGATCTCTGGCCTCTCAGGCTCCCCTGAGCTCCCATCTAGGAGTAATTGCACTGCCAGGTATGACCCCCTCAAGACAAAAGCAAACAAAAATAGATATAGTAGCCTCGAGTCAACTCAGTGACTGAGACAGGCAGAAGGGCCAGGGTGTCGTTCCAGTCCTCCTCCACATACACACCTGAAACCCCCAGATTGCTGGCCCAGGACCAGCACCCTTGCAGTCATATTTACTTCATTTGTTCCTCCTCTCCCTCCCCACCCTCGAACTGGCTATGAACCCCCATGACAGCGCCTGCTTCCCTGAAGTCTCCCAAGAGAAAGTCATTTTCCCGGATGACCAAGCTCCGCTGGGCTGTCAATATAGGGTGCTGAGCATCCCAGGACACCAGCCTGGGGTTCTTTGCAGCCACCAGGCAGGAAACCAACCTCCACCCCCAGCTCACAGTGTTCTGAGGTCCCTCCCTGCCTCTGCAGGGCCTCAGTTTCCTCAACCATGCCTAGGAACCAATCTCTTACATCTTTAACCTCAATTAGACCCCAGAGCTGCTGTAGGGTGGGGTGGGGTAGGATGGAACGGAGTACTGGCATTGCTGGGAAAGTGTCGCCACAGTGACTCCAATTAAATTCCACACAAGTGTGGTTGAGTGATGGGGACCCCCTCCTAGCCCTGGGCTCCCTGCCCTCTGTCAGAGTGCTGCAGCTAGGAGCGGGGCAGAACAAAGCCTGGCGCCATGGAAGCTTCTGGCCCTGCAGAGCGGTTCTCAGTTATCCTTCTCCTCCCCCACACTCCACCTCCCTATGCCACCAACCTTGGCGGCACCCCTAAAAGGCAGTTATGGTACACTACATATGTTTACAGAGTACCTGGTAACCACACCTTGACCAGTCTGTAGACATCCTGGAGCTCCTGCTGTGCCTCCCTCCCTCCTACCTGCTCAGTGTGGGTACCCACGACACACCCTGTAATTCACACTTAAAGCCCAATGTGCCTTGACCTTCATCCACCCCCTGGCACCAGAGGTCAGAGGCGATCAGCACCTGGGCCCAGTGGGCCTAGGAGTGTTCTACTGATTGGGCTGTGTGGGCCGTACCCAGCTCAGCACTTCATTTTTTTCTGTTGGTCTTCTTGGGGAGGTGGGGTGTGGGGAGGGCCAGGCTGTGGCGCAGTGGTAGAGTGCCTGCCTTGATATGTGAGGTACTCAGTTCAAACCCTGGTAACGCAGCACAGCACAACAAAGAACAGAAGAAAGGGGCAATGCAAGGGTTTCCCTGCTTTGACGGCACTTTGAAAACCTGCCGACAGCACCTTCCTCCTCTGACTACAGGAAACTGGGGGCACTGCAGGCACGACAGGCAGACCTGAGGGGCCCCAGGCAGGGCTGGCCGTGGCTGAGGGAACGCACACTCCCCCCACCCGCCTCAGGCTCCTTCAACCTAAGAAACTGTCTGCAAGGGACAGGCTGGGTCCAAGGAAAAGGGACTTTCCTAATCCTGTGAGCCATTGAGCAACTGCTCCCTGACAACCATTCTTGCCCCTGGCAAGAGGAAAATGTAAGTGAAATGGAAAGTGCTGGAGCTGAGATCAGGAGGGACTTTCTTAGATCTGGATTTGATGTGACTCTAGGACAACTCACTTGTCCTCCTAAAGATGCTGGCTGCCCCTTTCTCCCGCCACACAACCCTCCTCTGGGTCTTGCTGTGCTGCAGGAGTCCCTCATTCTTTCCCCTCTGCATATAGAGGAGCTGAGGGCTCATCAAAGCCCAACTGAGCTGCCCTGGGGCCAGGTAGACGACTCAAGGCTAGTGCGCATGTGCCAGAGGCTCTGGTTCGTCTTTGGAGCCTCAAGCTCCCCCAGTATCTCTAGGAGCAACCCTCATAGAGCATGATCTTGCCCTTGAGCACCAGCAGGTGTGGTCCCAAGACCAAAAAAACAAAATTCTTCTTCCCCCTTTTTGCCAACACTACACTGGGAGTGACCCCATCACTGGGTGTGGCCCAGAAATCAAACCTACACCCCAGGAATAAACCTACTCTGCCTTGATTTCGGAAAAGCCCAGAGGGGCTTCGCAACCCTTTCTCCCTGGGCCAGGCACAGCCTCCATCCACGTGTAGACGTTTAATCATTGGTCTAAAGCAGGTAAATCTGGGGGAAACAAGGCACAGAGCGATAAAGCAACTCATCCAAGGCTCATGGCGTGCTCAAGGCCAAACTGGGATTTGCCCCTTGAAATTCCTAGAAACTGAGCCAAAGGAGCTGCAAGAAACCCATCTGGCTTCTTTTTTGTTTTGGTTTTGATTTTCATTTTGTTTTGGTGGGAGGGGAGGGGGACAACACCTGGCACTGCTCAGGTATTACTCCTGGCTCTGTACTCAGGAATTACTCTTGGTGGTGCTCAGGGGACAATATGGGATGCTAAGAATCTAAGAGTCAGCCTATGCAAGGCGAGCACCCTACCCATTGTACTATCTCTCTGGCCCCAGGAAGTGACCCATCTGAAATGTATTCTTTTGGTCCTATTTTTTAAATACTTCCTGCTAAACTAGTAAAACTAGCTTTGCCCCAAGATAGGTTGAGGCCACTTTGCAGCCTTTTAGGAGGGTCCACATCCTGTAGTGCTGAAGGTCTACTTCCTGCTCTGCCCTGGGGGACCCTGTGGTGCCGGGACCAGCCCCAGCGATCCTGCACGCAGAGCATGTGTTCAAGCGCATGGCGCTCCCTCTCACCTACTTTGCAGTCTCTTACCAAGGGAGCAAGATAGTGCCCATAGTTCCTGTCCACTTTGACTATTTTAGGAGTCTTTGGTGAGGAGTCTGGAGAGGGTGGAGATATGATACAGGTTTGGGGGACATGGGGGAGGCCTTTGGAGAGGGGGGAAACCCAGGGGAGTCAGTTTCAGCCCCAAGCCAGGAGGAAGCAGCAGCTCAGACCTTCTCTCAGTCTTCAGGGATTTTTCGGTGTTTTTATACCGTTATTGGGCAGGGGCAGGGCAAGCACACCACAGAGACTTCAGAGCCATGAGGTGCCAGAGATTAAACCCAGGCTTCTCGCATGCAAACCTGGATACTAGCCCTTTGGGCTAGCTCCGTGGGCCCATCTGAGCTGTGATTGTATTTCGCATCAGAGGATCTGCAGGAGACCCCCCAACTCCCGTATCAGTCTCCCTCGAGACACCTGTATCCCCCTCCCACTGACCAACTAGCCCGGCTGCATCCCTCGGCCCAGGGAGCCCTGTTAGGCAGCTCCTCCACCTTCCCCTGCTCTCCTACTGCGACTTCCCTGCCACAGCCCCGACCTTTCCTCTGGGCCCCTCAGAGGCACGTCTGCGCACTTGGTGCCTCAGCACAGTCACTTGAGAAATCTGCTTTCTTCTGCTTCCTTCCTCCTTTTCTCTAAAGACCTGATACCAGTCACTTCTCTTGGACCCGTCTTTATCCTGGGCCTGGCGGCCCCTCTCTCCTGAGTTCTTTGGTCTTGATGAGGGTTCAAGGACAGCAACTCACCCAGCACCCAGTTTCCCTGGTACAGTTGTAGGGGCTTGGGCAGGTTATTTCCCACCCCCATTCCCACTTGCGTCTCCATTTCCCCATTTTAAGAAAATGGTCAGGACCAGAGAGCTAGCGCAAAGGGCTGGACTGCACTCTTGGATGCTTGAGGCCCCGAGTTGGATCCCCAGCAGTGCATGGCCCCCAAGCCCTGGTGACCTCCAGTACCTCGGATGACCCCCTGCCAGACACTAAGACCATCAGACCTGAAGTGCCCAGCCAGAATTGCAGGGAATAATTAGCACTTGGACCCCAAGCATTGCTGGGGAAGGCACTCCCCCGCCCCCAGCCAAAATAAAAGGGTGAGTAGTGAAAGCCCTCACAAGAGGTGGCAAAATGCAACCAGGCACAAGCCTGGACAATGGAGATGCTGCTTCCCCTCCTCCAAAGGAGGACCCCTACACCCCACGCAGCAGATGCCAGGATGGGCAAGTTCCTGTTGACCTTCTCCTTCTGTTTATCTGAGCTCAGGCATCTTTCTGCAGAAGTGGGGTGTGCCTGTCCTGGGTGTGGTAGCCAGAGATATCTTCCCTCCCAGGGCTGAGCCCTGCTGTCGAGACACCTGTCTTGGCCCAGTGGCCATGGTGGAAGGGGACACTGGGGGCCAGCAGGGGCACAGGATGGGGCCCTCATGCCTTGGAGCCAGCAGTGGGGAGTGGTGGGTTCCCCTCCTGATGCTTTCCCCATTCTTCCTGACAGAACCTTGGGCTGACAATGGCACTTTTGCTTTTGCTTTTCTTTCACTTTTGCTTTTGCTTCTGTTTCATTCCATCTCTTCCAGGAGTAGCGTGACCTGGTTTCTAGCAGACTTTTATGTTCCTATCAAGGAGACTGTAGGGCCTCTAGCCCCCAGGGTCTGGGGCAACTTGACCTCGGCACTCAGGGATTTCTTTCAGCTGCCCCTTTAATTTCAAACCCACTCCCCTTGTCTCACATCCTCCTCATGGTTCCCTGCCACCCTGGCCCTTCCGGTGACCTTTGTCACCTCACTTCATGCCTCCGATCTAGGAACACCTCAGAGGGAAACGGGACATTGGTGGTGGAAACTGTACACTGGTGAAAGGACGAGTGGCGGAACATTGTATGACTGAAACCCAATCATGAACAACCTTGTAACTGTGTACTTCACTGTGATTCCATTTAAAACATCTTGTTTACTAAGTTCATGTTTTAGATAGCATTATGAAATTTATTGTCACTGTCACTGTCCTCCCATTGTTCATCGATTTTCTCGAGCAGGCCCAATAACGTCTCCTTTGTGAGACTTTGTTGTTACTGTGTTTGGCATATCAAATACGCTAGGAGGAGCTTTCCAGGCTTTGCTGTGTGGGTGAGATACTCTCGGTAGCTTGCCGGGCTCTCCGAGAGGGGCCAAGGAATCGAACTCGTGTCAGCCATGTTGGCTAAGTGCAAGGCAAATACCCTACCTGCTGTGCTATTTAAAACATAATAAATTAATAATTTTTAGAATGCTTATTTTAAAACCCCACTGGGGCTGGAGAGCTGGTACAGCAGGGAGGGCATTTGCCTTGCATGTGACCAACTCGGGTTCTATCCTGGCAACCCATATGGTTTCCTGAGCACTGCCAGGAATAATTCTTAGTACTGAGCCAGGAGTAACCCCTGAGCAATGCTGGGTGTTGGCCCCCAGAAAGAACAAACCCATTGTTTCCCATGTCTCAAATGTCACATTAACATGCTAAACCTCCATTTAAAAACATGATTCTGGGGCCCGGAGAGACAGCGGATAGGGCATTTGTACACGGCGACCCTGGTTCTATCCCTGGTATCCCATATGGTCCCCAAGCACTTCCAGGAGTAATTCCTGAGTGCAGAACCAGAAATAACCTCCGAGTATTGTTGGATGTGGCCCAAAGAGCAAAATAAATTAATTAGTTAATTAAAAATTAAAAAATTAAAAAAATTTTAAAAACCCATGATTCTTATAAGATACACACACACACACACACACACGCACACACGCACACACACACACACACACACACACACACCAGAAAAAAAGCATAGAGCATGTAAAGAGCATGTGTGGCATATGTGATGCCCTGGGTTCAGTCCCTGGCACTGCAAAGAAAAGAGCACACAAGATAAAATATATATATACACGAGCTTAATTCCCAAGAGATTGTCCAAGTAGCAGAGCACATGCCCGCCATAAGGCCCAGAGTAAAATCCCTGGCACCACATGCCCCTGCCCCACAACACCCCAGGTGCGGCCCCCTATGCCACCCGGTATAGTCCCAGTGGCCTCTGAGCAGCTCCCCTCACCTGTCCTGGTCTGTGCCTGGTCCAGAGCTCTAAGAGCAAGACTGCGGTTTCCTTTCCTGGCAGTCCGAGGGCGGGGGGTGGGGGGCTGGATTTTCAGTCCAGGGTGCACACAGGATCCGGCAGGGACACTGGGAGATTCCACGTTGATTCAATCCAAAGAGAGGTGGCTGGTGACCAGGAGCAGGGGTAGGAGGAGTGCCCCCTCCATCCTCAGGTGTACCCCCTCTTGCACACTGCTCACAGCCAGGCCTCGGGGGCAGGCTTCTTCTACCCAGACTGAGGGAGCTCTGCTCAGGGCCCTGCAGACGGTTGCCCAGAGCTCACCCACTTCTCTGCAGGGCATCTCCAGGTTGCTGAAGGGAGCACTCGGTGCCTTCACGGTCTTAGCCCGGCTCGCTCCTCGCTAGATGACTTTGGTGTCTCAAATCAGGAGCCACCCACCATGTCCCCGATGATGGTAGCCCAGGCCCACCTGCACCACACACTGGCCATGCTGTTTTCGCTAGAGCCTGTTCACACGCCTTCCTCCCTGTGCTGATTCTCCGCCAGGTCCCAGCAGAGTGAGGAGCAGAGGGACTGGATGGAGAATCTAGCATGGGTATTGAACAGATGGGAGAAGGAAGGACATCCGGGGACCTGGCCTCCACTTCAGAGCCAGCTGACCTGGCCTGCCCTTGATCTCACCCACTCATTCCCTCCCTAACCCTTGACCCTTGACTCTGTCTCAGGTCATGGCCCCTCTGGGCAGGGCTCTACCTCTTTCCTCACTGTACCCAGCAGATCGTGCCCTGCTCCCCCCAAACCAACACTCATTTCTTTTTTATTTTTGAAGAGGGGGTCACACTCGGCTGTACTCAAGGATCACTCCTGGCAGGGTTCAGGGAAACCACATGGGGTGCCAGGGATCAAACGCGGGATCAGCCGTGTGCAACGCAAGTGCATTATTTCCTGTCTCTCCGGCCTGACCATCACGTTCTTTTCCTCTTCACGCTCTTCTTCCCCCCAGGGGAGTTGTTCTCACTTTTCTTTCTGGACCTGACTCCAGCCCTTTCCAGACCCCACCATGCACTGCAGGACCTGTTGGAGCTCTCTGGGCGCCTACCAGAACTCTTATTCGGCAGTCCAGCAGCTCGTTGTCCAGCCCCTGGACCCGTCTTCTCTGTGCCTCTAGCCCTTCCTCCTGAGCATCTAACTGGGTCTTGACACAGCTCAGACCCCTCAGCTCGCACCCCGTCCCATTCAGAGGCTCCGGTGGCTTTGGATGAGAGCCCAGGTGGCCCTGCATGGCCTGTGGGGTGTGAGTGTACAGTGGACCCAGGGTGGAAAGAGCAGGGGTGTGGGGCAGGCACACACAGGGCCCACATGGCTGTGCTATGGAAGTGGGTCCCGGCCTGTCCCACGGCCTGAGATTTGGGCAGCCTGACACCCTGGTCCCTGGTGCTGCTCTGAGAACTTCCCCGTTTTGCAACCCTGCAGCTTCCAAGCAGTTTAACAACGACATCCTGAAGGCCCACAATGAGTACCGGCAGAAACACGGGGTCCCCCCACTGAAGCTCTGCAAGAAGCTCAACCGGGAGGCGCAGCAGTGAGTGCCCAAGCACCCGGGGGGATGCGGCCACTCTCCCCTTCCCTCGGCTGGTCCCTGGTTTCGGGGAACCCCCGTTTGCTTTTGATAAAAATGGGAACTGGGGGACTTGGAAGAGAAGCAGAGATGCCCCAATTTTCTCGACCTGCCATGGGCAGGGAAGGCAGAGTGCTGCACTGGTTAGGGATTCCTCCATGGGGGTTCCCTGGGCTGTGCCCACCCTGAGGACATCCCGTGCACCCCTGCAGGTACTCAGAGGCCCTGGCCAGCACAAGGATACTGAAGCACAGTCCCGAATCCAGCCGCGGCCAGTGCGGAGAGAACCTGGCGTGGGCGTCCTATGATCAGCCAGGTGGGTCTTCCTGCACCCCGCACCCTCCACAGGGGGCCCCACAGCCAGACTCCAGCTCCCCATTCATGTCACCATCAGCCAGGGGGGAAACCCAGATCTGCATCTGCCCACAGGGCTGACCACAGCTGCCCAGAGCTCTACGGGCACTCAGGGCAGGACGTCAGGGGCACCACTGTGTCCCTCGTCCCCTTCTCAAGAGTAAGGAGTGGGGTGGATGGGAAAGTGTGAACCTTGGCAGTGACTCAGCCCAGCCCCCACCCCCACACCTCCACCCCTTACACCCACTGTAAAAGATTTCCACATTTTTAGACAAGGTTTTTCCTTTTTCTTTTTTCTTTTCTTTCTTTGTTTTTTACAGAGTTGGGGAATCATGTAATCTTTAGATAGAAGTTAGCAGGTTGGGAAAATGAGTGGGAAACTCACAGTCTGGAATGGTCGGTTACCCCACCCCTGCATAGGCTGAACATTCTAGCGCTTCCCGGACAGCCAGCCCTGACGTGACTTTTTAGGAAAAATGTGGTCTGGAGCTCCCTCACCCGCCAGCCCCAGCAGAAGAGGCTTCTCCCTCCCTGGCCCCACATTCCTGGGAGTTCCCCGGGAGGCCCTGGAGCCTGTGAGGGTTTTGCAGCAACTGGTAGCCAAGGAAACCACCAGGACACGCCCAGCCCACAGCAGCGGTGGCCCTGGGAGAGGGGACAGGACTGGACCAGCTCTTCCCAGCCCCGCCCTGAGTGGACCCCCTAAGGAGCACTGAGCAAGCCGCCCCCTCCCCCACTCCAGCTGCCCCCATCTCTGCAGTGAGAGGGACTGAGGTCATCTCCAGGGCCATGGGTCTCGTCTCCTACTGAACACAAGAATCTTTTGCAGAGATTTTTTTTTCTTTTTGTGTCACACCCAGCAACGCACAGGGGTTACTCCTGGCTCTGCACTCAGGAATTACTCCTGGCGGTGTTTGGGGGTCCATATGGGATGCTGGGAATCAACCCGGGTCTGCCGCATGCAAGGCAAATGCCCTACCCGCTGTGCTATCACTCCAGCCCCACAGAGTTTTTTTTAAGGGAGGACCACACCTAGCCAGTTCAGGAATTACTCCTGGCAGTGCTGGGACTCAAGCCAGGATAGGCAGCATGCAAGGCAAGCACCTTACCCACTCCTTGAACTATCCCTTCGGCCCTTCTTGTGAATATTTTCAGGAGCCAGATTTGGGTTGGGGAGAGGGCAGGCGTCTGGACTCTCTCCGTCCCATGTGAAGGCCCGGGGTAACCTTGAAGTCATCCCTCTGCACCCATGAGTAGGCGGCAAGGTGGGGGCCCTAGGTCTGACTTCTCCTAACCCCCATCATGGGGTTTGCTCGTGGGAAGCAGTCTGATTCGGGCTCCTCGGGGCTCTCTCAGCTGGTTGGGGGCTCTGGGAAGAAAATGGAAGCCTTTGCTGCTGAGTCCTTACAAGCATGGCTCTTCCCTCCAGGGAAGGAGGTTGCTGAACGGTGGTACAATGAGATCAAGAACTACAACTTCCAGCAGCCTGGCTTTACCTCTGGGACGGGTGAGTATTGGGCCCCACAGGGAAGAAACCAGTCTGCTGAAAATCAATCCATTCCCTCCGATTTGCCTCTTCTATATTTTGCAGGATTTTTGTTTTTTTGGGGGGGGGGGGTGTCACACTCAGCAGCACTCCGAAGGCTACACCCGGCTCTGGGTACGGGGATTACTCCTTGGCAATGCTTAGTGGACTGTGGGGAACTAGGGATCAACCCATTCCTCCTGCACGCAAAGAAAGCCTGCGATTCAGCCCTTTGAGCTATCCACACCCCCACCCACCCCCAGATCCCCCAGACCCATTTACTGGTTTGACCTGGCCCAGAGCCCACAGAGAAAAATTTTCTCAACACCTGTACATGCTCATGCTTGCACACACACGTGTGCGCATGTACACACACACGCATACACACACACACACCCCCTTCAAGAACAAAATTCTTCTCAACACCGATCCTCACACACGTTCACACACCCTCCGTCCAAGAGTTCCGCCAGATGATTCCTACCCCAGCAGTTTACGTCTCCAAATGGCTAGAGTGCATCAGAGGTGGCTAAGGATTTTATTGGGGGAGGGGGAGGGCCACACCCAGTGATGTTCAGGGGTAACTCCTGACTCTGAACTCAAGAATTACTCCTGGTGGTGCTCAGGGCAATAAAACTGGGTTGGCTGCAGGCAAGGCAAGTCCCATACCTGCTATACTCTCTCTTCAGCCTTGTGAGCTAGGGAGATATGTATATATATATATATATATATATATATATATATATATGTATTTTTTTCTCTTCCCTTTCCTTGTTCTTTCAGTGACTGGGGCTGGCGGTCTTGCACCTTATTTGTTGGTTTCTCAGTCCTGCCCCAGAGATGGCACTCCACATGGGGTAGGGAGTCCATGCTGGGCCATGAACCCACAGCTCCGGGCATGCTACCCCTCACCCACCCAACTCCAGGCTTCGGAGACACTTCTTTCCCATGGTGGTATCTCTACACTTCTGACTTCTGCTCACCTCACTCTGGTCTTGCTCACCTCCAACCCAGCCTGCTCTCCAGCCGTCAGATTACCCTAGATCCCTCTCTGATCTGGTGGCTATCCTGCTTACACAGGGCTCGCCTGGCGGAGACTGCTGAGTGCCCTATTCTGAACCACCTCCTCGGGCACATACCCTCCTTTCTGCCACACGCCACGAGCCACGCCCCACCCTCCTGGGCATTTGCCCTTGACTTTTATTAGCTAGTTTGTGGTTGGGGAAGCCTGGAATGTGGAAAGGCTGGAACGAGTTTCCGCTCTGGCATGATGCATTGGGTGAACTTGGGTTCGCCGCCGCCGCTACTCTGTGTCCCCTGAGGTCGAGGGATGAGCTTGTGCCTTTTTGTGCTCTTCTGAGAGCTGGCTTTTGAGATGCAAGCGGGAATCTGCCAGGGGACCTCCGGTCTCAGAGTGGCTCGTTGGAGCTTTGGTCTTCTTCCTGTCCCTACCCAGGCCTCACCCATGTGTCTTCCTTGAAACCCGCTCAGGTCTGCTTGGGACTCTGGACAGGTTGGAAAGCGCCCAGAAAGTGTGTGTGTGGGGGGTGGGTGGGAGGGGTTGTTTCTGTGCCCGCCCTTGGCCCTCAGCAGGAAGTGACTTGTCCTCTTTGCCAGGTTCCACTTCCTGTGGTTTTGCCCCATGCCCTTGGGCAGGGGTTTTTGCAACTGTGTGGGCAGCAGGGAGGAGTGTCCAGCAGGCCTTTCTCCTCTCAGCACTCTGTCCTGGGGTAAGGTGAAGGGCCCTAAGCAAGAGTGGCTCTATCTGTGGAAATGAAATCTTTGGGGTGAGGAGGAAGGAAAGGGGTGACGTTGACCTCCTCCTCCGGGCTGAGGATGGGTTCACAGAACATCTTCTTCTCAGAAACATCAGTATCCGGAAGACATGTGATACCTTAAGGTCTGGCCTTACTTTTCCGTGGAGGGTTCACAAGCAATGAGCTGCGTGGCCGACTGAGTCAAGTTGTTCCTCTATACATTCCACGTGCCAGTTATAAAGTGCTTTCCCAGCCACAAGCCCCCAAGCCTCCAACTGCAATGCTCTGTGGGGCCTAATTCTACCCATCCTGCAAAGGAAAAAAATGAGGCCAGTATGAGACTGGGGGTGAAGGCCCAAGAGAAGGGTCGGCGAGGAGAGACTTCTCTTAGGCCTTTACCCCCGTTTTCATACTTTTCCTATGGCCCCTGGTCCAAGGCTGGAATCTACCAAATATGGGAACGAGGGCTGTGGTTCAAGTTTCTATAATCACTGATTTGCCTGTGTCACCCATTGACCTCCCCAAAAACACCCCCCCCCCAAGAAGAAAACACCAAAACCTCCAGCATTGCAGTGGGTAGTGGGTAGTGGGCAGTGTCTGGGGACTGGATCCAGTCCCATGTGGATCACTCCAGGGCAAGAGCCTGGAAACCCCTCGGGTCCATCCCCCAAATCTCAACTGTCTGCAGAGCTGCACCAGTGATCAGGATGCCCAGACTATGCCCGTGCTGTAGGGGAGACAGCCTATGACATAGCTATAATCATCCCCACCCCTACACCCTTCATAAGCATCTTATGACAACAGGTCTATGCCGAGTACAGAGATGCAGCTACCTACAATTCCATTAGATTCTCTTTTTATGAGTCATTTTGAAAGTCACACTTTGACATGGTATGAAAGGTGCTAAGGGCTAAAGAGAGTCAGGTGCTCTTGCATGCGGCAGCTTTGGCATGATCCTCGTATAACCCCAGCACCACATATGGTTTCCTTGAGCAGAGAGCCAGGAGTAAACAGTAAGCATTTCCAGGTGTTACCCAAAAATAATGGAAAGGAGGAAGGAAGGAAGGAAGGGAGGGAGGGAGGAAGGGAGGGATGGAGAGAGGAGGTCGAAAGAGAGAGAGGAAAGAAAGAAAGAAAGAAAGAAAGAAAGAAAGAAAGAAAGAAAGAAACATACATACATACATACATACATACATACATACATACATAGGTGCTGGCCTAGTAAGATGAACGAAGTTCCCTCCATCCCACCCTTCAGTACTTCCTCCAGGCCAACCAGATGCCCTTTCCTCCATCTCACTCTGTAGTTGTTCTGAGCTTGCATAAGTACTTGTGTGTATGAGGGGCTGGAGCGATAGTACAGTGGGTAGAGCACTTGCCTTGCCTGCGACCAACCTGGGTTCAATCCCTGGTGCCTCCTGTAGTTCCCTGACCCTACTAGGAATAAGCCCTGAGCACTGCCAGTTGTGGCCCTAAAGCCAAAAAAAAAAAGGAGAAGAAAAAACATGTGTGTTTGTGTGCATGCATTTCTTATCCTGTTTTGCTTACTTCACACAGTTGTCAGAGATTGTTCCATAAAAGCTTTCTCTCTCTTGCAGAACTTTGCAAAGACAAGGTATCATTTTTTGGGGGCGGGGGCAGTTGGGAGGTGGGCATACCTAGCAGTGATCAGAGGTTACTCCTGACTGTGCTCAGGGATCTCTGCTGGAGGTCTTGGGGGACCATGTGGGATCCTGGGAATCTAACCCAGGTCAGCCAAATGCAAGGCAAGTACTCTTCCCACTATACTATCTCTCCAGCCCCAAACTGTTAATGTGTGTTCCAGAGGTATATTCTAAGAGGTTTGAGTTCATCCCAGGAAAGAGGATGTAATCCATTCAGGGGCCAAATAAGTCAAAGAAAAAGGAAGCTGTTAGCTGATGCAGCTTGGAAACCAATGTGTATCTGAGGGTTGCTAAGGAAGTTGTGCCCTTTAATTCATCTCTGAACACCCATACTTCATTATCTCTGCATAGACAGAACGCTGTCCAGCGGAAGAATAAGATTACTTAGGTTCAGCTGTTTGGGAAAGCTTCCCACAAGCATTCTTGCTGCGGCTGTGGGTGTTGTGTCTGTGATCATTTTCTTGGCAACCTGTGGCTAAGTAGCAGCTTTTCCTTGTCTGCGAGACAGAGTGGGTAGGTCGATGGCTAAAGCCTGCGGTCTGCTGAGAGAAAAAGTCGTTTGAAAAGGGACGTGAGCCTTTAAGAAAGGAGAAGCTATAGGAGTAGTGACGTGTAATGGGAGCTGGAGCTGGGGCCTCAAAGGGTCAGGGTGTGGCTCAGTGTGGTGAGTATGGGCGTTGCATGTGAGAGGCCCTTGGAAAGATGGATTGTAGCATTGTAGCATTTAATGTTCCAGCCTGGCGAGCGCATACACATACATACACACACACACACACACACACACACACACACACACACACGGTGATCAATGAACAGTGAATTCGCAAGAAGTGTTGCTTCTATATTCTGTGATAAAAAAAAAAAGAGGTACCAGAATGATAGTACAGTGGGTAGAGCATTTGCCTTGCACATGGCTGACCCAGGTTTGATCCCCAGCATCCCCTATGGTCCCCTAAACCCGCCAGGAGTGATTCCTGAGTGGGGTTCCAGTAATAACCCCTGAGCTTTGCTAGATACCACACACACACACACACACACACAGACAGCAAAATAAATTTTTAAAAGTCACTTCTAAAAACAACAAAAAAAAGTGGGCTGCAGCAATAGTACGGCAGGTAGAAGCTTGCCTTGCACGTGGCGGCTGAGCCAGGTTTGATCCAAGGCACCTCATACAGTCCCTGAGCCTACCAACCAGGAATAAGGCCTGAGCATCACAGGGGTATGTTCCAAACACACACACACACACACACACACACACACACACACACACACACACATACACATGCACGCGCGCTTGTTGACCAACTGTTCAAGTTTAATAATTAAGCGATGTTTTCTAATTGTTTTCTTTTCATTGAGTCTCACATAAACTCCGTGTTCCTAATCAGTTATTTTCAAGAAGAATCAAGGAGCCTCACATCTTTTATGTTTCTCCCGCACACCCAGCGGTTCAGTAGTAAAAGTGCCTGCTCCACTGGCATGAGGCTGAGCGTTCAAACCTTCACCCCACATAGGCCGGAGTGATCCCGGAACCATCTCCAGCCCACACCGGTGTGTGTGAGCATGCAGCCAAGGAGTGCGAGCCCTGGCATGTTCAAGTCAACGTGTGTGTGTGTGCATATGTGTGTGTGTGTGCATGCACCCTTTCCACCCCCACCTTCACTGCAGCAACAGCAACAAAGTGGGGAGGCAAAGGGGGGTAGTGTTATTAAAAAAGGGAGGGACCACTTGCCTTGAATTCGACCAACCCAGGTTTGATCCCTGGCATCCTGTGTGGTCCCTCAAGCACCACCAGGAGTAACTCCTGAGGGCAGAGCCAAGAGTAACCCCAGAGTATCCTGGGTTATGGCTCCAAAACAAAACAAAAAAACTCTTCATGACTCTAGAGAAAGAAACTGTAGGGGCACGAAAGATAGGCCAAGGGGCTAAGGATATGCTTCCATGAGGGAAACCTGGATTCTAGCCCCCAACACTACATGGTTCTACAAGCACCGCCAGGAATAGCTTCTGCCAGGTGTGACTCTCCTTCCACCAAAAACAAAGGTAAAAAAATTTAAAAAATGACTAAAATTCAAAAATGATAATAGAATTTGGGCAGAAGCTGTGGCTCAGTTATTATTAGCCTAGTATGCAGGAGACCCCGGTTCCATATCTGGCTTTATGTGGCCCCATACAGCTGGGTATGTCCTCCAAATAATAATATCTAGAACTATGGAGAGTGCTCAGGGGTCACAGTGCTCTGTGTACGAAAGGTACCAAGTTTGAGCCCTAGCACCTCATGGCCCCCAGCACTGTAGGGGTGGCCTTGGTGGCCTCCAGCACTACTAGGCTCAAGAATTGAACTGTACTGTGGGCTGGAGCAATAGTACAGTAGATAGGGCATTTGCCTTACATGTAGCTAACCTAGGTTTGATCCCACCCTGAGCATTGACATGAGTAATTAATGAGTGAAGAGCCAGGAGTAACCCCTGAGCATCACCAGTTATGACCCCCCCCAAAGCCAAAAAAAACAATAAATATTGAATTGTACAGTCAGGATGACCAAATGTCACTATGAGTTACCCAGAATCCCAGCCATTGCTGGGGAGTCCCCTCCCACACACACAGCCAAAAGATCTCCATCCTAATGAGTATAAGACAGTTATCCTCTTTCTGTGTTTTTGTTTACTTTGGTGCTGGGAGCCACATCCACCAGTGCTCAGAGTTATGCTCATCTCTGTGCTCGGGGATCCTCCCCGCAGAACTCAGGGGACCACACGATGCTGGTGATCAAGCCCTACCCTTCGACCTGTCTTCAGAGGCCTCTTCTTTCTTCTCAACCACCCCCTGCCCCAATCACTGTGATCATGATTATCCCCCCCTTCCTCTTTCATTGTTTCTTCCTTTCTACACCAGATATTTCTTGAGCATCTCCCAAGCTCATTGCTCAATCCTGGGGATACAGTTGTCAACCAAATATATGTCACACTTGCGCTCTCAGGGAAATCTTTGAAGACCACCCAGTAGCACAGGAGCAAAGGCCACCATGCTGGCCTGTCAGAGGGTGTCTGAGTGTGCTCAGAGCACAGATTCAGCTCCTGTCTAGGCCAAGAGAATGTATGGTCATTGAACAAGAAGTGTGATCCCAAATCAACTTCCACTGAGTACCCTGTCAAGATTCTATTGGCTTTCTTCAACTGAATCAGACAGTATTATCCCATCTAAGAGAGAGAAAAGATGTCCGTGGGCCAGGGAGACAGTACAGTGGGGAACATGCTTGCTTTGCATGGGTCCAATCCCAGTTTGATCCCTGGTACTGCAGAAGGTCCCTGAGCATCATTGTAGGAGCACCATAAAGGATCACGTCTGAGAATAGTAGAGCCAGGAGATGCCCCTCACCACTTTTGGTTGCCGTCCAAAAACCCCAAATCAAAACTATGAACACTGAAGAAAAAACAGGACAATAAGACTGATATGACTATTAAGAAGAAGGTGCTTGGGAAATCTAAGAGTGATTAAGAGGGGCCAGAGAGATAGTACAGCAGATAGGGTGCTTTCCTTGCACAAGGCCAACCTGAGTTTGATCCCTGGCATGGTCACCCGAGCCCAATAGTGAAGAGTGAAGAGATGGGAGTAATCCTGGGGCACCGCCAGGTGCGACTAGTCCCCAAACCAAAAAATTAAAAAATATGTATTTTTTAAAATAGTGACCAGGGGCCTGGAGTGATAGCACAGCAGGTAGGGCATTTGCCTTGCACGCGGCCGACCTGGGTTCCCAGGATCCCATATGATCCCCTGAGCACCATTTCCTCTAACACGGGCTCCCAGATGGATTTCTCCAGCCCAAATGTCTCCCCTAGACAATGCTATTTCCACCGGGATGACTCACAGTCATCTCAGTTAAATCACACATCACAGCTAAATTCACTCTCGGTTTCACTGCCCCCATCTCTGAGTGAAACTCCCATGTCTATGAACACAATTCCAGGGATCTGGTCTGCATCTCTCTCTCATTTCTCTCTCTGGGTGAGTAGTGCCTCACACAGTCCTGAAGAATTGAGCTCCAAAATTGAACTCAAGTCCAGTCATCCCCAAAGCATCCCCATGGGTCCAGCCACAAACTTTTCTCAGGGAAACACTGGAACAGCCTGCTTCGATTCCCATGCTGAGATACAGCCACATCTCTTGAATATCTCTTCTCAGCTTCAAAAAAAAAAAAACCCTCCCATTGCTTTCAACTGTTCCAGAATGAAAGTGAATGCTGTGGCCTGGTGGCTTTCTTGCCACCAGGTCTCCAATGGTCTCCAAGGTGTTGCAGGAGAAGAAATAAGCACCCAGGATTGAGCTGTGAGAACTTTTATAAATGGTCTTTTTACCATTTATAAGTGAGGTAGATGAGAAGGAAGAGGCAGGGGGAGGAACATCAAGAGAGGGAGGCACCAAGGAAAGCAGCAGAGGCGAGCGCCCTGGAAAAGGGAGGCAGAGTCTGTCCACAGGTCTTAAAATGTCAGGTGAGGTGAAGACAAATAGTGCCCTTTGAGGAGGAACTGTGGGGCTAGTACAATGGTAATCCTGAAAAGTGCGGGGGGGGGGGGGTGAGGCTGGAGCAACAGCACAGTGGGTAGCGCATTTGCCTTGCACGCGGCCAACCTGGGTTCGATTCTCAGCATCCCATATGTTCCCCCGAGCACCACCAGAAGTAATTCCTGAGTGCAGACCAAGGAGTAACCCCTGTGCATCACCGGGTGTGACCCAAAAAGAAAAAGAAAGTGCAGTTAGCCTGGGGGTGGTTGGATTGATTGGGGAGGTATCAGGTGGGTGGCATCCTAATTTTTGGAGTCACTTGGCTTTTGCACGGTCTCAGGGGGACCCTGAGACCTGTGGGCAGGGAAAGAGTGAGATGATGGCAGGTTGAAAGTGCTCGGGCACTTGGTGTATCTCGTGGATCTTCCGCCCGCTGGTATTTCGAGGGTTAAACTCGTGGAGTTTGGCTAGAAGGGTTCACAGAGTTTGACTGCCCTGAAACTACCTTCTCCTGGCTCTGCTAACTGTCTGTCCCCTGTCCCTTTTACTGTCCCCTTCCAGGACACTTCACAGCCATGGTATGGAAAAATACCAAGAAGATGGGCGTGGGGAAGGCCTCTGCCAGTGATGGCTCATCCTTTGTCGTGGCCAGATATTTCCCAGCTGGGAACGTGGTCAACGAGGGTTACTTCGAGGAGAACGTCCTGCCACCCAAGAAGTAATTGGCTGCATGGGATGGGAAAGTGCTAGACTTGAGATGTGGATTTGAAGTGCCTAGAACCACCTAACTCAGCTGCCTCTGCCCCTGTATGTGTGTGAGAGTGTGGGTGTCTGCATCTCTTGCACACACACTTGAATATGCAATTCCACGGGACCTCATTCTTACCCCAGGAGGGAGTCTGGGAAGCATGTACCCCCGCTGCCCCCCTCAAACCCCCAGTGATTCCCAGAGTCAGGTTATTTGGACTCCGGGGGAAAAAAATCTTTTAACTTCTTTGGGGTTTTGTCTTTTTGTTTTAAAGTCAACTTCTTTCATACCTTTTTAGAAAATTCCTCTTCGTGAACATTTTTTTGTCTCCCAAATGTCTGTGACCTAAGACTTGAAATTCTTTTTGTGATCTTCCAGCAGTGCCATCATTGACCATTGGTCGATGTTTCAGAAGAATCAAAGCCGCATTTCTTTGATTCTTAATGTCCAGCCTTAAACACACAGAGACCAAACAGCATCCCTGGGATGGAGGGGGCCAGCGGGGAAGGAATCTGCTTCACAGAATGAAGCTTTACAGTGAACAGTGTCAGGAATCTTAGAGCCGTTTTTCCACTGTAAGACAAGACGCCATCTGCAAGCCTCCTGCAATTCTCTCCGGGGCTTGCCAAAGAACAAGGGAGGGGAAAAGCTTGACTTCCTTGCATTTTTCTCCCTTTAAATAGCCAATGACCACACTACCCCCTACAGGTCTTCCCACCCTTTCTCTGGCAATAGGCTCCGGCTGGTTTCTGGGGTGCTGGAGCCAGCCCCGTCCACCCCCTCTCTAGGTGGCCCACGGCCGGTTCCGGGAGAGCCCCCCCTTACACTGCCTGGGCTCTTGGCCAAGCCGCCTTGGAAAGATAAAGTCAGTGAGCTCGGGGGTGAGGGTGAGCTGACGCAGGCCCCAGGAAGCCCTCCATCCTCTGCCCTTCCCCCTGGCCAGCTGGGCGGCAGCTCCCCCGGATCCCAGATCCCGGCAGCTGTGGCTGAGCTATGCTTCTCCTCCCTCCAGGAATGTGTGACAGGCCCAAGTGTTCCAGAGAAATGTTCCCTGCTGGGGCTTCAAATCATTCACTGGGTTCAGTTACACCAGGATGTTGGGAATAACCATCTCACTGGGTCAATGGGAGGGACACATGTGCCCACATGCTGAGCTGAGCATCCCTGAGATCATGCTGTTTCCAGGCAGGGGACTGTGGGCTAGCCGGCCCTCCTCAATAGGGGCTTCCTGAAGTTCTCTGTGGCACTTCGGGACTTAGTCTCAGTCTGTGCCCTTTATTTCATTCGGGGATATGGACTCAAACAATAAAATTGTTGCCTTGGTTTTACATCTTCTTCCCATGTGATTAATAATTCTAACATCATTCATAACCCTCGGTTTCCTTCTGCCCCTAACTCTAGTTCTCCAAACGGTCCCCGTCTGACTGCTCTATGGCAGCCATATTTTGAACCCTGTGACTCCCCTTCACATCATAGAGTAGACCTGTGCTCTGAGGGCAGCCAACCCATAGACCTTCTGTGAACCAAAAATATGAGCTAAGGAATGAGGGCAGAAGATGACAGTGGGACTCAAAAGAGAAGGATGCCATGAATTTGACTTATGGTGATGGTAAACCAAAGCTATCCGCAATTTCAGTTAAGAGTAGAAAATCCCGGGGCTGGAGCTGTACGGCAGGTAGGTGTTTGCCTTACATGTGACTGACCAGAATTCAATTCCCTGGCTCCCTATATGGTCCCAAGCCCCACCAGGAATGACCCCTGAGCACAGAAGCCAGGAGTAACCCCTGAGTACAGCTGGATGTGCCGGGGGGGGGGGGGACCACCAAACAAAAAACAAAATCCCTGCGCACTGCCAGTTGTACCCCCAAAAACAAACAAAAACCCAACCAAACAAAAAAGAGAAGAAATCCAGGGCTTAGAGGAATAGTGTAGGGTTAAGGCACTTTCCTTGCATCAAATTGGTTCAAATTCCCAGCACTGCATATGGTCTCCTAAGCACAGAGTCAGAAATAGCCCCTGACCATCTCCAGGGGTGACCCAAAAGCCAAAAAGAAAAACTATGTAGAAGTGAGAAAGTCAAGAGGTAAGGTACGAAAGAGATGGGAAGACTGGAAGCCTTCCTATACTTTCTATGCCAGATTAAAGCTGTATATCTTTAAGACATTCATTATTTTGTTCAGAATTTCCCAACAAACTGAAAGCAGAAAATGCTAAGCTGAATAGGAAGTGAGGGACTGGGTAGAGTAAGACCACCTGGTTAAGGAACTCCAGCTGGGGCCTTTTACTGGCCAAATTGGGCAGCTACCAGGAATAGCAAAGACTCAATGACCAGTGAGTTTCCTGGTGGCTCTGAGAGAATTTCCTGGTAGCCACAACCCCCATTGTACGCGTGTGCGCACACACACACACACACACACACACACACACACACACACACACACACACAGAGCCGCATAGGTGCTCATAGCCAGCCTCCCCTGGCTGCAGATTTCCTCAGTCCACGAGAGCTTTCCAGGCTGCAAAATATCCAGAGCACAAAGAGGGCAGAAGAGATGGGTGTTGAGCCCACTTCTCTCTAGATTTTTCTGAAGAACAAGAACTTGCTCAAATTCAAAAAGAGCCACAGACAAGTTGAAGGAGGGGTGGTCCAGAATGCTATCCATGTGTTTACTCCATGCCACAGGGAGCCTGGTCTGTGGTTCCTCTCAGGCCTCCATGACACCATCAGGCCCAAGGTTCTCTGTGGGATGCAGGCAGCGCAGATGAGAGACCTTTGGGTCCGGAACAAGCAGAAGTAGCAGCCCCTGAAAGACTGGCAGATGTAGGAGCAGCAGGGCCCACCACCCCCTCCTCCACAGTCCCCTCAGAAGGGTAGGGCCCACCGCCCTCTCCTCCACAGTCCCCTCAGAAGAGACATGCTCCAGGAGGTGAGGTTTGTCTGACTCTCCCAGGAGGCCCTGGCTGATTGCCCCCCTCACTCCCCTCAGGGGAGCAGGGCTGGAAAAGCTCTTAGATGGTTCTCAGGAGAGGCAGGGGGACACTCACCTAAGCCACATGGCGCTTTCTGCAGAAAGCTAGGCACTCTGTGGCCAGGGGTCAGGGGATAAGTGCTCAAGCTTGCTTTCAGACTGTGCCAAGAAACCGTTGAGCACCACCATGAACATACTCTGCATTACCACGCAGGCAGTTGTTTCAGTCTGTTTTTGAGCCACACCCAGCCGTGTTCAGGGGCTATGCTTTCAGCAGTGCCAGGAACCTTGGGGTCCCCCATACAAAGAAAGTATGTGCTCAGCTACCTCTGCAGCACCAGGGCCTTGAAATGACTTTTGAATTACCAAAAATAAGAAATGAAAGGATGGTGGGAGAGGGAGGAAGAGAACCAGAACTCTAAGCCACAGAGAAAAGGAATGAGAGAGTAGAAAGGCAAAGGCTCAGCTGAGGGGGCAGAGGGAACCCTATTTCCAGGCAGGGGCCTGCTAAGAAGGCCTTGAAGTCAGGAATAGGGTGGGGTCCTGCACAGGGGTGAGCCGCTCCCTCCTCCCAGGTTCTCTTATCTTGCCCACCCCATGGTCTGAATGTGGAGGCCCTTCCCCTTCCTCCCCTTAAACCCAGGGGGTTGGGGGTGGAGTGGTGCAAGGGAATGGGGGGAGGGGTGGAGTCGGAGCTTCAGTTTGCAGCTGCAAACTGAGAATTGAAAGCCATGGCCCAGATGTTACACTGCCCACCAACCCACGTGGGGCTTCAACACCTCCTTCCCTAAATAACGGTGAGAGAGGGTGTGTGTGTGTGTGTGTGTGTGTGTGTGTGTGAGTGTTGGGGAGGAGGGTGAATGGCAGGAAGCTTTCCCATGTGAGTTCTGGGGGCGCACAGCATGGGTGGCGCTGCAGCCCTTGTCATCAGCTGGCGCGTGGAGCCAGGCGGAAGCGGGGAGCCCCAGGGGCCTCCTCCCCGTGGGCCAGGGCAGGCCTGAGTGGAGCCCAGGAAGCCGGCGCGCACGAACCGGGAGCCCAACGCGATGACTCTCCAGCGCCCCCGCGTGGCCCCCTGGCTCAGGGCGCCAGGACGCCGGCCCGACGGCGTTCTGACAGCCCAGTTCCAAGGGAGCCGCGGTCGTCCTAAGAAAGCAAAGGCTCTCCGCATTGATAGGACGGTTACTCAGGCGCTCTCGGGTCATTTCCACTCAAGGGTTGCAAGAGTCTGGACAACGCTGTCGAGCCCACCGTGGACGGAGTGAGCGGACCTGGCCCCAGCATCCCACATTCTATTACTAGAGACTTGGAAATAGGCATCAGAGGACCTCTCTGCCCCTTGGCGTGAGCTGTCTTCCTCCTCTCTCTAGCTTTTTTCTTTTTTCAGTGTTCTTTATTATTATAGTTTAGGTTGTTAGAATCGTGTAAAAGCGTCTAGTACTGATGTACAAAAGTGACATCACCCCACCACCCACCAATTGCTTCTAAAGAAGAATGGTGTGTATGGGACAGGATGAGGATCCGGTGGTCTTGGCAGATGCCGGTTCTGAGAATCAGGGATTGGGGAAAGCCGAGTGGTTAGTGGTGACCTGGAGAGGTGGGAGGAGCTCCAGATCACAGATGAGAACTTGGGTGTGTCCCTTCTCAGCCCTGGGCCTCGCTGTCCCTCCTATACAGTGGGATGAACTCTTCTTTTCTTTCCCTAGTCTCCCCTTATTTCATCCTATACTCCTTCCCACTCTAATTCCCCCCACCGCCCCCATCAAATGGGCTCTGACATTCTAGAAGTCACCTTGATCCCCTAAAGCTTGAAAGCCCCCTGTCTCCCCATCCCCCACCCCCCACCATGGGCAACTTACACCCTCTCTCAGGTTCCCTCTGAGCTGGGACTCTGGTGCCCAGATCCTGCGATAATAGGGAGATCTTGGCAACTTGAAGCCATCTGCTGAGAGAACAAGGCCGGGCGCCTCTGAGAAGGCCCCGGCGGGTGGGGAAGGCTGCATTGTGATGACCTCATCTACTCTGTGAAGTCACTCCCCCCCTGCCCTCACTCTCCCCCTCCCCCACCAACTGCTCTGTAAAACAACCATCGATCTGAATCCCACAGTCCTGAGATAGTCCATTCACTAGTACCTGCTGCTGATCTGCCTCAGACAGCAAGAAGCGCCATGAAATTGGAATTCACTGAGAAAAACTACAACAGCTTCGTGCTGCAGAACCTGAACAAGCAGAGAAAACGCAAAGAGTACTGGGACATGGCCCTGACTGTGGACCACCATGTCTTCTTTGCACACCGCAACGTGCTGGCTGCTGTCTCTCCACTGGTGAAGAGCCTCATCTCTAACAATGACATGAAGACCACCGACGAACTCTTCATCACCATCGACCCCAACTACCTGAGTCCGGCCACAGTGGACCATCTCCTGGAGTACTTCTACAGCGGTAAGGTGGTGATCTCAGAGCAGAATGTCGAGGAGCTCCTGCGAGGGGCCCAGTATTTCAACACGCCACGCCTGCGGATCCACTGCAACGACTTTCTGATCAAGTCGATCCGTCGTGCCAACTGCTTGCGCTACCTCTTCTTGGCCGAGTTGTTTGAGCTCAAAGAGGTATCGGATCTGGCCTACTCTGGCATTCGGGACAACTTCCACTACTGGGCCAGTCCAGAGGGCTCCGTGCACTTCATGCGCTGCCCCCCCATCATCTTTGGCCGCCTGCTCCGAGATGAAAATTTGCATGTGCTCAACGAGGACCAGGCGCTCAACGCGCTCATCAACTGGGTGTACTTTCGGAAGGACGAGCGGGAGAAGTACTTCAAGAAATTCTTCAACTACATCAACCTGAACGCCGTCTCCAACAAGACGCTGATGTTCGCCAGCAGTAAGCTGATGGGGATGGAGAACAGCTCAGCCCATGCCACCCTGATTGAGAGTGTCCTGATGGATCGCAAACAGGAACGGCCGTGCAGCCTGCTGAACTACCAACGGAAAGGGGCCCTGCTTGATTCCGTGGTCATCCTCGGAGGACAGAAGGCCCATGGCAAGTTCAATGATGGAGTGTTCGCCTATATCATCCAGGAGAACCTGTGGCTGAAGCTTTCGGAGATGCCCTACCGAGCGGCGGCCCTCAGCGCCACCTCCGCGGGCCGCTACATCTATATCTCTGGTGGCACCACGGAGCAGATTTCAGGACTAAAGACTGCTTGGCGATATGACATGGATGACAACTCCTGGACCAAACTGCCTGACTTGCCGATTGGGCTTGTCTTCCACACCATGGTGACCTGCGGAGGGACCGTGTACTCAGTGGGCGGCAGCATCGCGCCAAGGCGGTATGTCTCCAGCATCTA